TGTCTCAATGTCATCGTCATGGGTCTCATTGTTCTCCGATTCCTGGTTGTTGTGACCTGGAACCCTTGTGAATGTCTTGTCATTCTTGTCAAATTTGCCCTTCACCTTGAGCTGTGTCAGCAAAGACACCCCACCATTCTGAGACCTTGGTTTTTAGATGTTCAGTCAAGAAATACAGTAGACTGATTTTCGGATATTCCAAAAAAAAACAGGGAAGTAAATCAAACAACAAATGGTAAGTCAAGGTGCATTTTGGAAAGCATTGTAATGAGCAACAAACCGACCCAAACCGAACCCCGTGTCTTGATCCAAAATGTCGTGCTGCTGAGCAACTTGGTTATAGATGTAAATTAAAAACACTGACAAAAATTGTTCTTTGACAATGTAGCAGCCGCTCTTCCCAATCAACAAACCCATGCCTTGAAGAGATGCGAATGTTCGATCAGCTGGGCAGGACTGCTCTTGGAGTTGACAAAGACATGCAGCCTTAGCCGCTTCATCTGGGGAAGCAACTTTGGGTTACCCTGGGGAAACCATTGTTGTCATCATTAAAGCATCAATATCATCAGCATCAATATCATCAGCATTGCGATAATAATCAACATCATTGTATTAGCAACATCTACTAGCACCTTGTAAATGAACATCATGATTTGAATTCAACCACCTCAAAAAAAACACCATCATTAGTTATCATCATCATCATCATCATCATCAAGATAGACACCAACAACCAGCAACATATAAGAACTCACCACCACCACGATAACGCCAACAGCACCATAATCATCATCATCATCATCACCACTGTCACCATTGTGTTCAGCTCAAAACATTTCAAACCTTACAATTAATAAAAACTTAGCAGTAACAATAACCAGTATCCATCACCACCACCTTGATTTGTCAACTCATTCCCGAATGAACCCCCAGGTCTTGCTGCTTGGAAACAGCTCTTTCATGTAGTCATCTGCCATGGTTGGTCTTTGTCCCAACCTGGCCCAACCGATGAAAGGAACACAAGACAGATTATTCCCCACAAAAATACAAACACAAAAACACATTCCCACCACCACTGGACAGAACAATTTAGTATTTTGTATAAACGAAAGCACCACCAACAACCCCAACATAGCCTCCTGCACGCATGTGCCAAGTCTTGGATGCGAAGTCTGATTGATTTGAAGTACGTGTCATCGTCCAAGTTTCCAGCAAGGGCAGCCTCGGATGGGGCTTGCAGATAAAATTATTACTAACTAAAGACCCTATACCCTCTTGGTACTAAATCCCTATTGGTTTTTACCTGACTTTCTATTCCAGAAACTTGTCTTTCTTTGATTGGTTTTTAACCAAGAATCTAAAGCAACTTGTTCGTCCGCTGCTGCGTCTGCAGCCAATGCTTCTGTTCTTTCTTGGAAAATGGCCTCCATCTTAGAGTACCGAGTCCTTAAAAGAATCATGTATGACATTGAATGCCTCAATGCATAACATAAAACCAGGCCCAAAATATTGAGAGCCCAATACTGGGTCCCCATGTTGAAACTGCCAGTGTTAATCTAGTAGACAAGGGTCCGTTCCTTCTTGGACAGGGGCATGGGTATAGAAGGTGAGCAAAATTCTTGAATTATGCGGATTGTCGCCTGTTTAATTTTCAGCGCATGCGACTGGTGTAAAGAAGCCAGCGAGTACACACCGACTATGCCATAATTGGCCACCAAGTCTTCCCCACAAGATGCGAATCTGACACAAAGCCATCCTTGGCTTCCATCTTGTACCAGGGACAACGATTCTGCTTCTGACCTGAGTCGGGCAAACAGATTGGAATATAACCAGGGACTGACCAGGATTACATTGTGTAATTAATGTTGACAACAGGTCATAAACAAAAACAATGTCAGATGTCGAATTTCTTTCTCACATACCATAAACGCTTGCTACTAAGTACTAACTTTGCTGCTAAGTAGCAACTTTGCGATGTTGAGTTTTCTCGCCGCTTCACCAAGACAGGCCTTCAATTTTCTTAGTTTCGTTCTTCCCTTAGATGTACTTTCAACGGTGTAACTGAACTACCTGCCTAACACTGTCTCGCTTTAAGTTGATTTGCAACTTGATAATATGGCTGCCGAAGTTCCCACTCCCCTTCCTCTTCTGAATGGTTTGCCTTACCTGTTCGCTGCACCACTGCTCGAAAGATGTTTCCGCCAGGTACCTGAGGGATTCCCAACTAAGAACAGTACAAAACAACTCAACACAATTCAAAGACAAACACGGAGACGACAACACATTACAATGCAAGAAACTTTTTTGCCCTTGAAAAGTACACTAAGAACCGAACCTTTTTGCCCTTGACTAGGCATGTACCAGATCCAGACAACTTTGCCACTGCCAGCTGATGCAACTGTGTATCGGCATGCTGTACCAGGGATTGGTATCTCACAAAAGCCTCAGTTAGGATTGTGACCCCTATATTCAATGCTAACATATGCTAGCACCAAATCACAAACAAACAGAAATGGATAAGAATGGTTTAATGAACTAAACAGCTGAGAAACTTTTTTGCAAGCTTTGAACTTGCTCCAGCTTGAAGCCTTTACCCCAGCTTTAGAGCATGTGCTGCAGCCAAGGCCGGTTTGTGTGACTTGTACCCACGGATGGTCAACACGCCAAGCATCAATATGTTTGCACAGGTGTGCATTCCACGCCTGAGCACCCCAGGGTAGCTATATAAAATTGTGCTAAATAAAAATATAGGCTGGGGGATAAACTGAACTGAACTTGGGATGAACCCACTGTCAATCCCTGCCAAGATTCTGTCCACTGTTTGCTGCATAGAGGCGGCATGGGGCATGAAGGAAATTGACAAGTAGATTGGAACATACGTTGAACGACGATTCAATGGTTTTAAGATTTTTCATCATCAGTTTAACCATACGTTGAATGATTCAAGTCTTAACAGGTATTGGATTAAATTATGTTGGACTAAGTAAGTGAAATCAACTTATATTTATTATTCGTCATCACAATTTTTTTGGAGTTTAACCGTGCAAAGGTGCCGCATTGAGCACTAAAATGCAGCAGCAAAGGTTGGACTGCTGCATAATAATCATATGATCACTCCTCAAAAGCCAGGTGCCCCAAAATGGCGTGAGGCAGAGATTAATTTAGTAAGTCCACTGAAAACAAGGAGCCCTCAAAATTGAGTGGTTTCCTTATTTTCTCTCCAAACCTAAAATTCATCCCAAGCAGAAAGCCAGTCTGGCCAATGCATCTTGAGGTTCCGGCGCTGCCGCAGCAGCCAGCGATGAACACGACCACGAAGACGGGGCGTGTGCACACCCACCACAACACACAGAGGCCAAAAAAAAGGCTGGGATCAGAAATCAAAATCTGGAAACTTGACTTTGGGGGTTTAGAACGAATCTTGGTCACTGATAATGTAATCGCACCAGAGATGATACGGTATCTATATTTAATAGCACATTCTTGGCTCCTTGGAGGATTTGACTATTTAGATTGAGGCAACAATTCCAAAAATAGCAGTTGACTATTTGACTATGTTAAACGCGGGCCAGATATGTATATATATATTTATATCTGGTTGGTGGTTTGGAACATGAATTTTATGACTTTCATATTTTTCAGAGGGGTTGAAACCACCAACCAGATATATACACATATGTATAATATATATATATATAAAATAGGGTCAGGATGGGATATGATGGGAAGGGATCACCTGGAGGATCATTCCACGACTCGTAAGTGGTTAGCAACCATAGTCTGTGGGATGATTTTGGAGGGACGAAAACATCTGGTTTTCATTGATTTTCTATGTGGGTGTGTTTGGAAATGGGCATATAGGCCTGGGATAAACTAGTATGTAGATATAGATGATATGGGAATTCCATACTTTCCTTGGACATGATCTATAAATAGATGGTGGATGTTTCATATCTTGGTTTGCTGTAGTGAGAATGGGGAGATGAACGAAGATTCGTACCCGCTATTGTGATGTTCGCCAAAATACAAGGGTTTCGACCAACAACCGCATAGGATCGGGTGACGCTGAGAAAAGATTCCCCCAAGCTGTTGAGATCCAGTCCACGGACAGGAGATTGGCAACTAAACTCTATGTGGAAAGAACAAAACAGAGTGATATCTCCACATAGTGTAGTAGGGAGATGATAGAAACAACTATCTCCATGTTGTTTTCTCTACAAAAATCGTTTTCTCCACAAGATTTTTCTTCATTTGTTCTAGGGCAATATTCCCAGCGTTGGTCATATCTTGAGTTATCCTTGAAGCCACGATTCCAGTCACCAGGATCATCACAGCGTCAACTTCACTAGCCATTGGAACTGTGGATTGAGGTATAACCCAAATTAACTTCCCATCTCAAAAACGGATGTTTTATTGTTTTTTTCACTAGAGGTTATACTTATACAACCACATTTCAAGGCTGCTTTCATCCGAAAAGTGAAGGTTGATATGTTGGGTTTGGGATTGAAGACCCCAAACAAATATCTTTGGCCCCCGCTATTAACCATCAAGTGCGGCATTAACTGGACATGGTGGTATAATACCATTATCCGTCAACCATGATCAACCAATATTATTAACCAGCAACCATTATCAACTATTATCAACCATTCATCAACCAATATCAACAATTATTAATTAACTTATTAACCATGCATCAACCATTAATAACCATTATGAACCATTCATCATCATTATGAAAACTAGAAAACCATTATAAAATTGTCCATTACATCTATTAACTAGAAGTAATTTTTTCACCATCATTCACCAAAACTAATACGGATTGTGTCAATTCACCATATTCGGATTATGTCACTAATATTACTTATAGTTAATAATATTACTTATAGTTAATAGTTAATAGTAAATATCCTGATGAAAATATTACTTATAGTTTTCATAGATGTTAATAGTACTAATTAATACACCAGAAACCATCCTGAAAAAATGGAGTCGAGGCCCGAGGCAGCCCAAGTCCCTGGAGGAGGGGAGAATCCCAGGGGTTGATGATGGAGAATCATGGTTTAAATGGTTTAAATATGGTTTAAATGGTCAAATATGGGTTAAATATGGGTTAAACATGGGTTAAACATGGTTTAAATGGTTTAAATATGGTTTAAATGGTCAAATATGGGTTAAATATGGGTTAAACATGGGTTAAACATGGTTTAAATGGTTTAAATATGGTTTAAATGGTCAAATATGGGTTAAATATGGGTTAAACATGGTTTAAATGGTTTAAATATGGTTTAAATGGTCAAATATGGGTTAAATATGGGTTAAACATGGGTTAAACATGGTTTAAATATGGGTTAAATATGGGTTAAATGGTCAAATATGGGTTAAACATGGGTTAAATATGGGTTAAATGGTCAAATATGGGTTAAATATGGGTTAAACATGGGTTAAATATGGTTTAAATGGTCAAATATGGGTTAAATATGGGTTAAACATGGGTTAAACATGGTTTAAATGGTTTAAATATGGTTTAAATGGTCAAATATGGGTTAAATATGGGTTAAACATGGGTTAAACATGGTTTAAATGGTTTAAATATGGTTTAAATGGTCAAATATGGGTTAAATATGGGTTAAACATGGGTTAAACATGGTTTAAATGGTTTAAATATGGTTTAAATATGGGTTAAACATGGGTTAAACATGGGTTAAATATGGTTTAAATGGTCAAATATGGGTTAAACATGGGTTAAATATGGTTTAAATGGTCAAATATGGGTTAAACATGGGTTAAATATGGGTTAAATATGGGTTAAATGGTCAAATATGGGTTAAACATGGGTTAAATATGGGTTAAATGGTCAAATATGGGTTAAATATGGGTTAAACATGGGTTAAATATGGTTTAAATGGTCAAATATGGGTTAAATATGGGTTAAACATGGGTTAAACATGGGTTAAATATGGTTTAAATGGTCAAATATGGGTTAAACATGGGTTAAATATGGTTTAAATTGTCAAATATGGGTTAAATATGGGTTAAACATGGGTTAAATATGGGTTAAATGGTCAAATATGGGTTAAATATGGGTTAAACATGGGTTAAATATGGGTTAAATGGTCAAATATGGGTTAAATATGGGTTAAACATGGGTTAAATATGGTTTAAATGGTCAAATATGGGTTAAATATGGGTTAAACATGGGTTAACTATGGTTTAAATGGTCAAATATGGGTTAAATATGGGTTAAACATGGTTTATTATTGCTCTACTAACATTAACAATGATGGCTCATATATGCGAAAATATGTTCATCCCCCTAGTGAATTCGCTGTGAAACACCATGGAGCTAGGGGCTGTTTATTCGGACTGAATGGGGGATGGGATGAATTCTTGAAGGTCAACGGAATATTGTTGACAAAACACTGATGTACAATCCAACTTAAATACTAGTGGTAAATAACGTTTCTATCTTTTTCGGGGTTCCTATATAATATATACAATATATACAATACATACAATACATACATACATACATTACATTACATTACATTACATTACATTACATTACATTACATTACATACATAGATGCATACATAGATGCATACATACATACATACATAGATACATACATAGATGCATACATAGATGCATACATAGATGCATACATACATACATACATACATACATACATACACACATACATACATACATACATACATACACACACATACATACACACATACTAATACAGGACATCATACAATACATACATACATACATACTACATACATACATACATAATACATACATTACATACATACAACATACTACATACATACATACACACAACATACATACATACACCACCTACCAACAACACACCATTACATTACATTACATACATTACATTACATTACATTATTACATTACATTACATTACTTACTTACATACATACTACATAGATACGACATAGTCAGTACATAGATACAGACATAGATTCATACATAGATACATAGATACATGATACCCAGATACACAGATACACATATACACAGATACATAGATACATCTATACATGATACATATATACATAGAACACATAGATACATAACACAATAGATAATATAGATACGTACATCATCATCCCTCCATCCATACATACAGTTACATACAGTTACATACAGTTACACACAGTTACACACAGTTACATACAGTTACATACAGTTACATACAGTTACATACAGTTACATACAGTTACATACAGTTACATACAGTTACATACAGTTACATACAGTTACATACAGTTACATACAGTTACATACAGTTACATACATACATTACATACATACACATACATACACACACACACATACACATCGTAACAAAACCCGTGATTTCTCGCATTCAAAGCCACCTAAACCACCTAAATCACCTCCAGGTATCTCCAGGTTGTGGTTGATCGAAGCAGGACATGAAGCGTCTGTTGGAATCAGATCCAGATGTCGAGGAGGCGGGGCTCTCCGGGGATTCGAATGTCCAGTCAATGCCTTTTGATTCGAACATCATTTCTTTCAAACCCCAGACGACGTGACGACCCCCGTGTTTCCGTGTTTTTTTTTTCCATATTTTTTCCCAAGATCGCCATTTTCCGCCGAGAAATGGCCAGGTCTTCATGATCCAAGGACCGAAAGAGGCAGGTTTGGTGGTTTCCTTTCGATCCATGCGATCGGCCTCTGATGCCCTGGAACTGGGTCGGGAAGCTAAGGACTACCGACCCCGGGAGGGAAATCCATGGGAAATCCATGGAAATAGCTGCAATTTCCCATGGAAATCATGGGTTGAGAACATGGATTTCATGATTGGAAGTGGCCAGTCAGACGACTGGTAAATCCATATGAAATTCGAGGCCGAAACCTGCTGGGTGATCCTGAAGCAGGGAGCCCCGGGGCCCCACTCCTGTGATTTCAGTGGCAAACAACAAGAATCCCATGATGTTTGGGTTTCTTCCAACTGAAAAGTTTAATGATTTCGAAAACTAGGAGCAACTCCAAAAGAGATCCTCATGGAATTCGACAAGTTTGAGATGTTGAAAATCGGATACCAAAATCACTTAGCAAACAATATCCAGCAAAAACTGTTCTATCTCATCTATTGATTTGAGGCTTCCTAGACATCCTCCAGTGTTTCTTCATAAAAACTCCATTGTTGTGCGGTAAAATCTACGATTTTCTGTGGGTCTATAGATGAGCTAAGCCTCACACCACCAAATATCCATTCCCTGTTTGTTTGTTAGCCTCCTCGTATTGATGGCTTGTTACATCCTGATACTAATCTGTTGCTGGCTAGATTTCCCGATTTTTGCTGGTCAATCCGCCTGCTAGTTAAACTCACGACTTGTCTTGATACGGGTGTGTCAGATGATGGGGCATACCCCTGAATATATAGCGAGTTTGATGGGAGAGATAATTTTCAAAGTCATTGGATTTTGTTTCTCTTCCCAATTCTACTGGCTAGCTTCTATAGATCTAGCATCATAATTTCAGTCTTTTGGCACATCATTTTTCCCATACGGGTTTGTCTGAAAATAAAGTATCACCAAATCCCTTTGTTTATCATTTTTTTCCACATGTTACCTATATATTGCAATTTTCAGAGACATTCATGTAATGTATCATATTGTTGCACTTATATATCTCATTATCTCATTGTACCTCCCCGAAGAAAAACTCTATATCCACATCTTAGTTTTGATAGTCCCAAAAATAAACATGTTTTTTGCTCATAGTTCCCCATATTTTTCATATTATCCAATGCATTTTGCCTATATGTCCCCATATTTTCTACCCATTTCCTGGACCTTCCCCGTGTTTTCCCGGTTTTCCCATGGCCCAGCAAGGTGGTGGACAAAGTGAGCCATGAAGAGCTTCAACGCCTCAGGGAACACAGCAGAGGCCGTTCTTTTCGTTTTTTTTTCCGGATGTGATCCACATCTAACCTATTCTAACCTGCCCTTCTTCAGAAAAAAAAGGGATGATCATCACTCATCATCTTCACTGGGAATCCCTATGAAAATCCAACCAACTCTGCTGACTCTGCTCCTCGCGAGGCAGTTACCGACCCAATCCAGTCAGGCAGGGGGATTTTTTTTCACCAATGAACCGACCACCAACAAACAGATGTGTAACACGGCTTCACAATAATTCACAGGTGCGACAGGGTTTTAAAAAGATGCTTTTGATGACAATTTTTGAGTGACAATCTTCTGTCAGAAGTATGATATAATGCAACGCTACATACATACATACATACATACAGATACTACATACATACATACATACATACATACATACTACATACATACATACATACATCATACATTACATACATACATACATCATACATACATACTACATACATACATACAATACAATCATACTACATCATACATACATACATACATACATACATAATACAATTACATACATACATACACATACATACATACATACATACATACATACATTTTCATTGACGCATATTTGGAACGCTCATCAACTTGTGAAACTCATCCGCATGTGTTGCTGTCGAGGCAAGCTGTGAAGGATGTCCCTCCACCTGTGGCTTGCCACCAGTGGTCTATGGTGAGTGCCAAACGTTGATGGAGCCCGGAAAATCATGAAAGGGCATCATATATATATGTATTATATATAAGACATATATATATATAAGAGACAGACACATATATATACATACAAAAGACACATATATATATAAGACATATATATATGTGTCTATATGTATGTAAGTAATGTAATGTATGTATGTATGTATGGATGGATGGATGGATGGATGGATGTATGCATGCATGCATGTATGTAATGTATGTATGTATGTATGTAATGTAATGTAATGTAATGCAATGTAATGTAATGTAATGTAATGTAATGTATGTATGTATGTGTGTATGTGTGTATGTATGTATGTATGTATGTATGTATGTGTGTGTATATATGTATATGGTCACCGACAGAATTATGGAAAAAAAAAAAACGTTCAACTTAGACAGGCGGCGCCTGCGTCCGATTTTTCCATAATTAGGTTTTTCCCCATAAGGGTTCAAAATATCCCGGAAGTGATCCGAACCTTTTTTTTTTCCATAATTCTTGGAGGTGGCCATTATTTCCATAATTGATTTTTCCTGTAAAATCAGGGGGCTAGCGCAGATTGACCGGTTTTTCCATAATTATTTTTTCCATAATTATTTTTTCCATAATTATTTTTTCCATAATCAATGTTTGGGGCTCCACCTGTTGGACATGTCATGGATCCACAATTCAAACCCCTTTTTTTTGGGGGTTATGGAAATATGTATGCAAATGCAAGTATGTAGTATCAACCCAATTGGTGGCTTGGCAAAAGGATACATCCCGCATATGTATGTACGTACAACAATGAGTTTTGGTGGTGCAATTGTATATCAATGGAAGACTTAGGGGCATATACCAGATCTTTAGACACATATTTTCTATAATTCAATATTCCCCCTTAAAATGCATTCAAATTGCGAATCGATGGTAATACAGTCACCGACAGAATTATGGAAAAAAAAATAATTATGGAAAAAATAATTATGGAAAAAAAAAGGTTCGTAACTTTTCTATCATAGACAGGCGGCGCCTGTAAATTGAAACGTTTTTTTTTTCCATAATTCTGTCGGTGACTGTATATGTATATATGTATGTATGGGCGGTCCGCACTGTTGGGGAGGGGGGGGGGGGAGGGGTTGGGAAAGCTTCTAGGAGGGGAGAAAACTCTAAAAGAGAGAGTGGACAGTTCTGACAGATTCATGAGAAGGAATCAAACGGGTGTGAAAAAAAGATAAAACCAAGACCAAGAAGATGTAGAGAAAAAAGTTTACAAAGACGGGAAGCGGAGGGGATTACTGTATGTATGTATGTATGCATGCATGCATGCATGTATGTATGTATGTATGTATGTATATATATGTATATATGTATGAATGTATATATATGTATATATATGTATATATATATGTATATATGTATATATATGTATATATGTATATATGTATATATGTATATATGTATATATGTATATATGTATATATGTATATATGTATATATGTATATATGTATATATGTATATATGTATATATGTATATATGTATATGTAGATTGAAATTGGGATATTGATTCTATAAATATGATATATCCTAATTACATCCCATTATACAGTGCACAAATAAAGATACAGTGATATAGTTACGATATTCTGTATATCCCATGTGTTGTATCCAATCAAATATAGAATAGAACCATGATAACAAATTAGGGAATATAATATTCGACATTAATCAAAATGCGAATGATTGCGGACATTACACGATTTGTATCTAATCATCCAAAACATGAATCCCACGGTTTCAAATGTATCCCTACTTGAGAAGATGAATCCAGATTGTTTTTTTTTTGGTGGTTCACCAGCCAAATAAAAACTCTGTGAATTACAAAATAGTGACGGCCGTTGCCAAGATTTGGTTCCAACAGACAGTTTATACATCCAACACGCCCCATACGACCTGTAGGTTGCCAACATACAGCCCCAAGCTGGGTTCAGCCAGCTCCATCAGACCTGTAGGTTGGGCCTGTAGACTTGTTATTCGATTTTTGTCCTGGTAAAGAACACCAATTTCTGGGCAACGAAAAGATGATGATTTTTTCTCGGTTCATGGTCCCTGACTGCACCAAGAAAAACGACAGCCCGATCTCACCCGATCTCGCCCAAAGGTGGTGCCTGCCGAGCAAGTTGCGGAGAGAGCCCAGATGGATTCCAGTGGAATCAATGGCATCGACCTTCAGGAGCACCCGAGGATGTGCTGAGACCTGATTTTGGACGATGCTGAGTTTGTACCCATAGAAATGGGTGAAAGTAACGAAGATCATGGGGTAAGATATCTATTTTTATAGGTCAGCGCAGTGTCCAGGTACCCCTTGTGTTGGTGAATGTCAGTGACTCCTTCCCTTGTTCACAGATTTTGCCCCGGCAGGAAGCGCTGCTTCAGCAGGAGGTGAAACAAGACCAGCAGTTGCAAGCAGCAGCAGCTCAGCTACCAGCAGCAAAGCCGGAAGATGTCCAGACTGAAAAGGGGCTCTCCACTGCAAGTCTGGAAGTCAATGAATCCGTACAGAAGGCGCGACGGCCGACTTAGCGACTTGAGAATATCTGGGGGGATGAAGCTGCTGATATCTGCTGTTTGAAGATTTTGAAGCTGGATGGAAAGTCGGAAAGTTGAGGCGTTGAAACAACTTCAAGAATTGGTGCCAACTGCACAGGTGCGGCAGGGGGATCATTTGCTGATGAAATCGTCCTGAAAGGATGAACCAGTGAAGACGAAGCAGTGCGATCAAGATTCATCTGCCGACTGGTTTCAATCTACTACTTGTAGTAGCAGATAATAACCTTGATTTTGATGGGAATACATCAAATCTTTGACAGTGCAGAGAGTTCCTTAAAGATCCTTAAAGCCTTAAATCATCCAATTTCTTCTTTAAACATCTTTAAGCTTCATTGTGGGTTAATAAACCAATCTTTCACAGGATGTGGCTGCAGCTTCAGTGGAGCCTGCAACTTCTCCGCGAAAGCTTGAACCGGGAGGGGTCGGTGCCTCGATCATCGCAGAGGTTTCGACTCAGTTTCCATCCAGATCTGGATGATTTCAGATATTTTCAGATTCTGGACTCAGATTCTGGGTGATTTTCATGATATTTTTCATGATATTTAATGATTTATGATGATTTCAGATTCTGGACTCAGATTCCCCCAATGTTGGCGGATCAATCCCTGAGGTGGCTGTCGCCAAGAGCAAAGGCGCCCGAGCCAAAGCCAAAGCGCGCGCTGAGCCGGAGGCCTTTGTCGGATTTGGGGGCGAAATTCGTGGAAAAAAATGCCCCAGATTCCATGAAATTCCTAGAGGAATTGGGAACTTCTTTCTTCGTATTTTGAATTTTATGGATATTCCATGAGATTCACATGTATTCTCTATTTCTAGCCAGACCCAAATGGGGTACCCAGCCACAACCCACACATTCAAATGTTGGTCAATTTTCTAGTGGGTCATTGGTGGCCATGGTCGGACATGATCATTTTTTCCAAGAAAGAAAGGGTGGCATATGGGATGCAACCAGGAAAAATGAATGGAAAAAGGTATTTCAACCTAAAGTGCGGTTTGAACCATTATGAGGTCACCAGAATGGAATTACTTGAGCAACAAGAAATAGGACGGCCCAAAAACAGTCCGCCACAGATTTAAGTTTGGATCATTGGAATCCAGCTAGCTCAACGCGAACTTGGTGATTCTCCCTTGATTTTTTGGAAATGGCTTGTTGAGAAGGAGTATATGAGGACATAATGAATTTATATTGAATTTATATGATACATATACATATTCCCAATTCTATGCTGCCAGTCAAAGTTTCATTCAGGGCAGCTATCGTACTTGAACATCGCGTGCTGCTGTGAGGGAATTGTCATCACCCGCATCGATGTCAAACAAACACGAAGTTTCCGTGCTTTCCAGAGTGCGCTTGGGGTCTCCAGACCGCATTTCTTTGAAACACCCAGCCGTTCTTTCCATTCAAACCTTGTTTGTGCCTCTTGTTGATTCATTTCCTCATTGTGAAGTCCCCTGTTCATTTCGGCAAATCGACGTGCCTTTTCGTCAAGCGGATCTCTCTCTCTCTCTCTGCCTCTGTCTGTGTCTCTCTGTCTCTCTGTCTCTCTGTCTCTCTGTCTCTCTGTCTCTCTGTCTCTCTCTCTCTCTCTGTCGATCCAATCTGTCTGACAGACATACTCATATACCATAATAATCCATAATATATATATATAATTATATACATATTACATAATTATTGTATATATATATATATATACACGTAGCTATATATATATAGTATGAATAAACACATACAATATCAGTGAAACAGTGAAACTACATTTCGGTTTCACATGGTTTCAGCAGCTCAAAACTTGCAGACCCGAGCGCAAGGCATCCCCAGTTGCCCCTGTTGCGCCCCCTGCTGTGGTGCCAGGCGGCGCACTTTTCGATTTTTCGTGATTTGACCAGCGAAAAAATTGGGGATTTTATCTACCAAACATAGGGATATCTTATGAGATGGTAGATAACCAATAATATGGGATTTTATTATAAACTTATTGTAGGGATATCCACATATTGTTGGGGTTTATCTACCAATATGACTGTATATCAGTTTGAATTGATGTGACCAACAATTTGCATTAAATTAACGATGGGTTTGTGACATGTGGAATTCAGCCCTGAAGGGCTGCCGTTTTCAGCCCTGACACATGACGCTTCCGATTCCGTTCGAATCGGGGGGACCCTTTGATCGAAACCCAAATCCATGCTGCGAGCACCAGTGAATGGGATTTAGCATGAGCCAGCAAAGGAGATTCAACGATCAACGGTTGGATAACTGCTGTAAAAATCTGTAAAATGGAGATATAGTGATGTATCAGTTATGAAAATCCTAGTATCAGGGTTTTGATCCATAGCCATTGTGGAATGAGTGTTGAAGCTCTTAGGTGTGCCTGACAGCGACAAGTCTGCGGCTGAGCTAGGGTCCATGTTGGTGGAGGAAATGGGTTGATTCTCTGCCCTCAAAAACTTGGCTGGTGATGTTGGCAAAGCAATTTTAAACCGCATAAACCACCATATTTTGATGGTTTATAATACCTATTTATGGTAAAATTGGGGATGGTGTATTGTTGCTTTACCAACAGTATAATCGATGGAATAGGAGATGTTCATATTCCCCACGAATTCAGATGGTTCCACGACTGTTCCACCCATGTGTAGCCTACCTCTTGCCTCACAAGTGCAATCGCGCAGCTGCCGGGGAAGGCCGTCACCGAAAGAAAAGAAGGTGAAAGACAAGAAGGACGGGAGACATCGTTGCAGATCATGCAGCAATGACTTCGGGTCCTCGGCGTCCTCGGAATGTGGGACAGTTCCTGTAGTTACTGCATATCACACGCACGTGATCCGAAGGAAAGGTAGAGTACAGGGTGTGAGCTGGTAAATTCAATTAATTATAAACCATAGCCATGTCCTTGGTAAACATTCAAGCTTAGGGTGTATTCTTGGGTTTACCACATTCCAATATTGATTCACGAACAATGGTGAGTTAAGCAACAAGCGAATCCCGTGTTCCGTCTGTAGTCTTCCTTTGGCCCAGGAGAAAAAAGCGAAGAAGTTGAAGCAAAAGCAAGAGATGGAGGATGCCGCAGCTGATGGACTTGCCTCACCTGGCACCTTTCTTAAGCTGTGAATTTCTTCTGAATTTCTTCTTTGGCTTCTTTCGCCAGCCTTGGGGGTTGGACACCTTTTTCCAAGAAGAGGTTGGCCACACACATGCATAGGAATGTCGGGTCTCATTGTGCGGGTACCCCAACCTTGATCCAACATCCATCAACATCCAAAATCGCCTGCGAGGCTGGAGCATTTTTATATTATATATGGGATGTGTACAAGAAACATCAAGAAACTCTTAAACACATCCCATATAAAAATCCCATATAAAAATCCCATATAAAAATCCCATATAAAAATCCCATATAAAAATCCCATATAAAAATCCCATATAAAAATCCCATATAAAAATCCGATATAAAAATCCCATATAATCCATTAGCCTATTGCTTTGTTTTAGGCTACCTTTTTGTTACCCATTGGTTACCCATTGGATGAGCCCCAAAAAATGGGGGATTCGGTCATGGTCAGCATGGTCATCCCACCTTGGGCTCTGACCACATAGCCATGACGGATCCATGGTGCTATGGTGCTGGTATATTTACCCTCTGGTTATGTCAAAATAGCTATTGAAAATGGCCATTTATAGTGGATTTTCGGATTTTCCCATTAAAAATGGTGATGTTCAATAGCTATGTTAAATTACCAGAGGGTAAATGTATCCCAATAGTGATGCTTACCCTCTGGTTATGACTATCACTTCGCCATGGAAAATCACCATCTGTAAAATAGGTAAATCATGTTTATCATCTACGAATGGTCCATTTTCCATAGCTATGTTAAATTGCCAGAGGGTATGATTAATCGCTATTAATCGCTATTAATCGCTATTAAGCTGCTATAAAGCACCATTAACCACTACTAACACCACTATATATATATGAACCACAAAAAACACCACTAGTAACCACTATCAACCACTATTAACCATCACTTTGGATATTTTTGGGTCAGACATCTCTTCATCTGTAGCTCCTCTGGGCTCTGACCATCGGGGCGTTCTGTTCCATTTACAGCAGGCGCGCAGCGACGCTGCGCTGGGAAACCAGGGAGAGCTACCAACGGATGCGAAATGCAATGGATCATCGATGGTAACATATGGTCACTGTGGACTAGAACACCATCATCTATGAACCATTATACGTTTTATATAATGGATCATAGTCCATTGCATTTCGCAGCGCATCTGGAAATTAATGTAATATCATGGGATCATAGTCCATTAACCAAATGATTTGAATATAAATGATATGAATTACAATATATATATATACACGTATAATTACATATCATTAATCATTTTTTTACCATATCATCATGCTTAGCTATGAATGTAGTAGTCCATAGTAGTTATGGCAACGGCTGCCTCACACTGTGAATGGACGAGCCATGGGAGTAGCTGTAGTGACTAGCCATGGGATTTCTTCCAACCATCCACAGTATCATTGATTGGATTTTACCCTTTGGTAAACTAACATAGCTATTGAACATGGCCCAGTCGAAATAGTTGATTTACCCACTAAAAATGGTGATTTTCCGTAGTTATGTAAACGTTTACCAGAGGGTAAGCATCACTATTGGGATGATATAGTCATAATAGTATTCCAATAAGCCAATAGATATTTCACCAATGATGGACTAGATCAAAGCTGTGGACAATATGGGGGAATGCAATGGGGATATGGATGGATATATGGTAGATCTCACCACCAGGATGATCTAGTAGCATGCTGATAGTGCATTGTTGCGTCATTTTACTTAGGATTTGGCGTGGATCCCAGCGGAATTCATGAAATGTATCTCCGTTGTCAACTTTGAATTCAACGGATTTCCAGTATTGAAATGTATCAATAATCAACCATAATCAACCAACTGCCAACTATTCCTCTGGATTTCCATGGGCGTGCGGTGTCACGCTGTCACGCAGTCGCCTCTGGTCGGCTCGGAGAGGTGATTCAACTGCTTCTGGGAGTTCCGAACAGGTTACTCATGGGTGCCGCTCCGAGCAATGGATGCCACGCTATTTGCTGTCAACTGCGAAACTGCGATCTGTTGAAAAAGACCCATCAAAAGCCATCGATTTCCAAGTTTTGTATGAGAAAGGGAGCATGTACTTGTAGGAACCACTTACACTATCATATGATATTGTCTACATGTCAATATTTGATGGTAAAAGTAAAAACTTGTTAAGCATGGCTTTCCTATAGATTGCCCATTGAAACTCCAACGAAAGTTGCAACAGTTTCCCACTTTTTTTTTGACAGAATTAAATTGAAGCTGCTCCAAACACCCCAAGGTGGATCAAAGAAAAGCAGCAAGGCAGTGCAGCAGGCACATGGATTTTCAGAGGCTGCAGCTGCTAGCAGAGTTGGGAAAAAAGGATATAAACATATTAGTTAACAATCTTAACCAAAACCAATGAAACTGATGGCTTAAGCCGTTTCAAACCAGCCAGAATCGAAACGACCACACATTTGGCAGTTTTAATAGGGGTTCCCAGGGGTTCGCAACCATGGGATGCTGGTGGCCTTTTCACCATTTGATGATCTTTTTCAGAATCCCAGGATTCTGAGGATAACTTGGCCCCAGGCCGGAACCGCAGGAAAGCCTGCTGATACCAAGGACAGCTATCAGATCTATCAGGCTCTGGCTCCATGCTTTATTGAGAAGCAAAAAGACGCCGATGCATATCCATGATATAGAAATTGTCAATAGCAAGAATTTCACATGTATCAACTTCTCAATATATATATATATATATTATATATCTATATCTATATCTATATCTATATAAAACTATATACATTATATCTATATACACATTATTTATGTATATGTATATCAGACATGCAGAGTGTGGACGCCCCGTTGAAAAGGGTGACTCCAACATTATCCTAGGTACAGTGCCCTGATTCACTATTTGCTGGGCAACCAGTATGTGGATACATCCCATATATTCCATCAGCCTCATAAGTCAATGAACAAGTCACATACACATATTGCTGATTTTCCAAAACACACGTTATATACCCTCTGGCAATTTAACATAGCTATGGACAATTGCCAATGTGAGTATTTACATGTATTATTATCTTACCTATTAACAATGGGGATTTTACCATAGCTATATCCCATTGTTAATATCCCATGACTAATAGCTATGATCAAGTGTTTGATATACATATATATATATATCCATTAATATCCCATTATCCCATAGCTATGTTAATGACTAATATCCCATTTGTGGAAAGAAAACAGTGTTTTTCATTACAGTATCCTCTGGTAATTTAACATAGTTATTGAAAATGGCCCATTTATAGTTGATTTGCCTATTAAAAATGGCCATGTTCAATAGCTATGTTTGTTTACCAAAGGGTAGCTTCAGCCACCAAGTCATCCCCTGTCTCGTTCAGTTTTTCGTCGTCATTGCTTCAACCTGGTGAATCGCCACACAAACTCAGCCTGCAGAGCGAACCCTGCGGCCTCCAGTTAAAATAACACGTGTTTTCTTGGGGTCAAAAAAATAATTATATAACATGTTCCGCTTTTAGCGAGTTGTTGGGTATCTATTTAAACTATTTGGCAAATTTAAGTGATATTGGTGGTATATATATATATATCAGGTTTTTATATATATATATATTTGAATATTACATTCTATGATATTCCCACTATTATCCCAATGTTTGATGCTTAAATCACTATCTTGATCACCATTGCCATTGTATCCCCATTTGTCCCCATGAAATGGTCGCTTTCAATACCAGCCATCTATTTATCTATCTATCTATCTATCTAC